ATTCTAAGTAGTCTCTTAGGGTACGTGATCCATATACCTTAAGCGGAATTGTAAGTAGTCTAGGGTATATGGTTCATAGTTCATAACTCCTCAATAGGAATTCTAAGTAGTCCGGGGTATATAACCCCCAAGGGTAGGGTTCACTTGGTCCCCAAGGAACTTCTTTTGGCAGGTTCAGCTCCTAACGGCTGAACTCGAGGACCTCGAGGGTTGGAGGGTTGCAGGGGGGGTAGGGTTTTGAGTCTCGGGTTTAGGGTTTTGAGGTTTAGGGTCTGGGGCTTAGAGTTTAGGGTATCCTGTTCGCAGGTTTGCAACAAGTTGTATGTGCATCACGACGTTAGCCCAGACAGAAAGTTTGTCGGAGGCCTTTCCCAGCTGACTTCAGGAGTCTGGGTTCAAAAAGCGTATCCTATATGTCCATGTTGCAGTCGGGTGATGAACGGCGGTCCTGGTTTGAGCTGCCTTCCATGCTTCCGTTGTAAAGGCGTCGCTGGGAGTTTGCATCGTTATGGCAGTCTGCCGCCGAACATGGCCTAATGGAGATGAAGGTCTTGTAAACTCTGAAGCAGCTGGCGAAGAGCTTCGCCGTGTCGAACTTCTAATGTCGGGTCGCGAGCTGCTTTGAATACCCCGTGCTGCAGGACATGCAGCAGCAGGACGCAATACTTCGACGACGGGCGCGTTCAGCCGAGGCATTGCATGTTGTGCATGTTGTGCGGCGTGGGGTGCTGATGGGCATTTGAGGGCCGTCTCAACTGGTTTGGGGCGGAGTTTTTGCACGACCAAACTGGAAATTCAGATCTGCGGCTGCGGCATGTATATTGTAAGCACATGAGCCCCCGTTTGTTTTTTGTTGATATTCTCCCAACCCTCGGTGTTAAGTCAGCCCTTCCCTTGCCCGGTCTCCTGCCCCCTGCCCCAGCAGCAGAAAATCCCGGAAGTGCCTGTCCGAATGGTTCCCACATTGTTTAGGGTCTAAGGTCCAGAGTTGAGGGTGCAGCGAGCTATTCGGCATTCGGGTGGGGCTGATGGAAGTAAATGTTTCTAGCTCTTCGTGCGTTTCAGGGGCCTGGCCCCCATGGCAGGCTTGGGGCACAGGAAAGAACTCCCTTGAAGGCAAAAGTGACAGCACATGAATGCATCACTGCTAAACCCTAAATCCTAAACCCTACACCCTAAACCCTAAACCCCCAAAAACCCAGCACATCAAGCGCGATCGAAGTGCTACGAGGCCATGGTGGGTTTCCTGTCGCAGGAGAACAAGGCCTTAGCGGAGCAGCTGAGATCAAAGCAGGGAACCTCGTAACACGGTGGCCTTGCAAATTGCAAATTGCCGAGCGGCGGCGAAACACACACACACACACACACAGAGATGACAGTGGCGGCTGGACCAGTGAAACATACTGAAACCATAGTGCCGTCTCGACGTAAAGACTTGGCCCCGACAACCGCAAGCTTGGACAAGCCGCAAGAAACTCGAGCTTCAAGCCAATACCTTGGGGACCAAATGAACCCGCAAAGTTGGGGTCATATATCTTTAGACTACTATACTTTAAGGCAATATGAACCATAAACCTTCTTAGGATCTTTTAGGGTTCATTTGGTCCCCAAGTTATCAGGGAGTCAGTAGGCCTCAAGGGGCTTGTTTGTACCCTTTTGTACCGTTAGGAGGGGCCACCTGCGCCCCTGAGTCTTTGAGCAAGAAGCTGGCACTGCAACCCCCGCATCAGTTCTGTTGCAATAAATCGTTCGGCCCTGATCCGCGCTGACACGCGTATTTTGCGAGTGTCTTGCACTGCGGCTTTTTGCGATCTGCCTGGGATTCTTGAAGTTGTTGTGGTCGAGCAGAGGAGCCTGAAAAAATACCAATACGACCCCCTTCGTAATCCAAAAAATCGAAAAACTTTGCACAATTCCCATCCTCAAGTAGGCCCATAGCTCCAGAGCTGTAACAACGGACCCAGCAGGAAGGTTTCGGCAGATGGCAGGGCAAAAGTTCCCGAATTTGCGCGCTGCGCTGTTGCGAGAGGAGTCAAGAAGTGCGCCTTTCACTGGGCATGCTGTCTAGACCCTGAAGCGCTAAGCCCGAACCTATACCTCAAGAGCCCACAAGCCTATTCTGTTCATATAAATATATTTACATATATACAGTGTTTAATATGATTCAGAAAATGAGTAAAAAAATAAATTTGTATATATATATATATATATATATGCTCGCCCCCCCTCCCAAGATCCACCCTTCGAGTGCTCGTAGTCTTGACTTTCCTGACGTCTACTGTCGGGTTAAGGTTTAAAGGTTTAGGGTTTTAAGATTTAGGCATTTAAACATAAGCCGACAATTGCACCTAAGCCCTTCACCTGTAAAACCCAATGGGGTTAAGGTTTAAAGGTTTAGGGTTTCAGATTCAGGCACTTTAACCTAAGCCCATAGAGTTTAAACCGCAAGGGTTTAAGGTTCAGGCATTTAAGATATGTATGAGTTGGTAGCTGAATCTTTGCTGGAAGGAGTTTTTGTCACACAACGCATTGCTTATAAGCAATAAGTTTGCTTATAACAGGGGCCAGGGGGGGCGGGGGGGTCAGGGGTGACCCCTGAACACCCCCCACACCCTGCCCCCTTGCTGCGCTCCTGTTTTTGTTTCAAGGCTTACTTTCTTAAATAGTACCCTAGTGGTTAAGGTTGTAGGGCTTTCAAGGGCAGGGTTTAGCAATTAAGCCTCACCCCTTGACCTTTAAAAACTCTATAGGGTTAAGGTTGACAGTTTTGTAGGTTAAGATTTAGACATTCAAACCCAAGCGGGCAATTAAAGCTTAATTCCTAACTTTTAAGCCCTATAGAGCTAAGGGCTTAGGCATTTTACGCCTAAACCCATAGAGTAAGTTGTTTTAAGGGTCTGAAGGGCGCTGAAGGTACACACGCCCAGACCTTAGATTTTTACTAGTAAACCCTATAGGGTTTAAAGGTGCAGGGTTTAAGGTTTGAGCATGACCTATAACATTAGAAGCTTATAGCCCTATGGGGCTTGAGGCTTCAGGTATGCCTATGTTTGTAGGGCTTGCACCCCGGGGGACGCGAGAATACTGTGAGCAAATGTCCTTTCACTACATCCTGGAATTCTCAAGATATAAACAAACCAACCGACATTGGATAGAATTCAGGTGTTGCTTATCGGGAGATGATTGCCTGAGATATCTTAGCTATGGTATAGTTTTTAGGATAGTGTTCTGTTTTGCTTATTGGGGTGTGATGGCTTAAGATATGATAGCTACAGTGTTTAATATAATTAGAGGTCAGGTTTTGCTTACGGGGGGATGATGGGTTGAGATATGTTCGCGAAGTTATAATTTTTATGGTTGATTGCTTAAGATACTGCAAGACCTCGAGGAGATATATAGTTCTGGAAAAAATTGGTTTTTGGGGACAGTACAGCACATTATTGGTACCTGCAAGCAAAAAATAGGGACAGTACAGCACTTCTGCAGTCTCAAGAGGCGAAAGTGCTGTACTGTCCCTATTTTTTGCTTGCAGGTACCAATAAAGTGCCGTACTGTCCCTAAAAAACCTAAAAAACCAATCTTTTGGGAACTACCGGGGGCTCCAGGGCTGGTAGTGCTGGAAAGATTGGTTTTTTAGGTTTTTTAGGGACAGTACAGCACTTTATTGGTACCTGCAAGCAAAAAATAGGGACAGTACGGCACTTCTGCAGTCTGGAGAGGCGAAAGTGCTGTACTGTCCCTATTTTCTCGTCCCCAGGCAAGCAAAAAATAGGGACAGTACAGCACTTCTGCAATCTGAAGAAGCGAAAGTGCTGTACTGTCCCTATTTTTTGCTTGCAGGTACCAATAAAGTGCCGTACTGTCCCTAAAAAACCTAAAAAACCAATCTTTTGGGAACTACCGGGGGCTCCAGGGCTGGTAGTGCTGGAAAGATTGGTTTTTTAGGTTTTTTAGGGACAGTACAGCACTTTATTGGTACCTGCAAGCAAAAAATAGGGACAGTACGGCACTTCTGCAGTCTGGAGAGGCGAAGTGCTGTACTGTCCCTATTTTCTCGTCTCCAGGCAAGCAAAAAATAGGGACAGTACAGCACTTCTGCAGTCTCAAAAGGCGGAAGTGCTGTGCTGTCCCTATTTTTTGCTTGCAGGTACCAATAAAGTGCCGTACTGTCCCTAAAAAACCTAAAAAACCAATCTTTTGGGAACTATCGGGGGCTCCAGGGCTGGTAGTGCTGGAAAGATTGGTTTTTTAGGTTTTTTAGGGACAGTACAGCACTTTATTGGTACCTGCAAGCAACAAATAGGGACAGTACGGCACTTCTGCAGTCTGGAGAGGCGAAAGTGCTGTACTGTCCCTATTTTCTCGTCCCCAGGCAAGCAAAAAATAGGGACAGTACAGCACTTCTGCAGTCTGGAGAGGCGAAAGTGCTGTACTGTCCCTATTTTTTGCTTGCCAGGCAAGCCAAAAAATAGGGACAGTACAGCACTTCTGCGGTATGGACAGGCGAAAGTCATGTTTCCATTGCTTGGGTTTCAGGCAAGCCATATTCGCATTTCGCAGACACAGAACGAAGTCGGTAACACCAGAAACGAACCACCAGATCCTGGTAGTCCATTTCTGGCATCTGCATGCACACATCGCTGTAAGAAAGAAGTATGAAACAATCGTTTTAACAGGAAAACCCTCGGTATTTGCAGCGTTTTCTGCATCTGCATGTATAAGAAAGAGTACATATATGGAGTGAGGAGATTCTGAACAGCCTTGGGGGTGGATCTTGGGGGGGGGGGCGACCATATATATATAGACTGATCATGTGAAGGGAGGGGATTGAGGGTGGTTGAGAGGGATCCCTTGGATGCAAGCTCCTGCCTTGGGAGCTACCGAGAGCCATGCCCGCAAGTCCCAAGTTTAGGGTTTAGGGTTTAGGGTTTAGGGTTAGCCAGGGTTTAGGGTTTAGGGTTTAGGGCTCAGGGTGCAACAGAGGCGGCTCTTTGCCCCAGGTGCCAAGACATCGAGTGCCCAACGGCTCCGCCCAAAAGGCGCGAGTCGCCCCTGCACCTTGCCTTCAGGGGAGGAGTTGCTAGTTGTCACCCCCTTAGGGTTTAGGGTTTAGGGTTTAGGGTTTAGGGTTTAGGGTTTAGGGTTTAGGGTTTAGGGTTTAGGGTTTAGGGTTTAGGGTTTAGGGTTTAGGGTTTAGGGTTTAGGGTTTAGGGTTTAGGGTTTAGGGGCATTAGAGAAGAGTTTCGGCATCCTGGCAGCAAGGAGTCCAGTTGCAAAAAGGGGCACTGCAAGGCGAAGAGATTTGCTCTCTGAATTCAGGGTTTGGCATGTCTGGTGGGCGTAGGCTCTAAGCTCTGTCACCCTGAAGTCTTACGTCCTAAACCCTAAACCCTAAACCCTAAACCAATTGAAGCCTGCACCTTAAACCCTAAAGCGCTCAACGAGCTGAGGTACTTAGACTTCCTGCCTGCCTTCATCAGTGTGCTGCCACCGGGCCGAGACGATTCCGGGGGACACAGGGTATGCGCCAGCATCCATGCACCCCCACCTCCCCTCCATCCCCCTCCCCTGTGGTTCATGGTCTGCAGTTCATGGTGGGTGTAGGAGTATCGACTTGTTGCTACTTGCACGGAAATGCCAGACGGAAGGATCAGGTTCCTAGATCTGATACGTGGCTTTTCTGCCACAAGTTGAAGCTACCGATGCTTCTGTGATGACCCTAGGCTGGCTTTGTGTTTAAGGTTCAGGGTTGAGAGCTTAGGGTCCCCCCCCCCGCCCGTGGAATTGTCAGGGCTTGGGCGGACACATGGGGACGGATGGCTGCCCCATTGTGGTCACTGCGGTTATTGCGAGGAAATCAATTAAGACTCGGGTTCTTTCAAGGGCCATGAGGAGGGAAGCTGGAGTGCCCAGCAGCCTTCGGCAAAAGATTGCCCTTCAACTAGCCTGAATATGCATTCATTCTTGGTGTAGTGGGGTCGTTGAGTTGGGAGCTGCAGGTATGAAGCAGTTGAAGAAAACGGGAACATCCTAGATGACGACATCATCCAGATCATCTACGACTACGAGCGTGACAGCCGCGTTGTGGTTCTGCTGTTCATGATGCCCAAACCCCCCCCCCCCCCCCCGCCGCCCCGCTGCTCTTAACCTGGCTAAAACCCACAAAACGCAGTTGGGGGTTCCAAAATTAGGGTACCTATCAGGAACCAGGGGGGTTACCTGGGTATAAGGGGGTTATAGGGGAACCCCCAAGATACACCCCCCCAAAAAAAGGGATTATTCCCCGAATTTCGGAAACCCCCAATAATCACACAAGAGGAGAAGCCCAAACCCTGAACCGCCTATTTTGGCAAGTTGCCTGGGGTTGACTCCTTTGAGCCATGCACTGTTTGCATAATATACATATGTTTTCCTTGATGTAACATATGTAGCCATGTACAACACATAGTAGCATATATCAATATGTACTCACATAATAAATGCCCCTAAACCCTAAACCCTAAACCCTACACCGGTATCCCTGGCCCCTTGGGCGCTGTGCCCGGCCACTTGTGCACTGTAGGGTTGTTTGGCATGTCCTGGGAGTCTGCTGCTTAGGGTTTAGGGTTTAGGGTTTAGGGTTTAGGGTTTAGGGTTTAGGGTTTAGGGTTTAGGGTTTAGGGTTTAGGGTTTAGGGTTTAGGGTTCAGGGTTCAGGGTTCAGGGCTAGGGCTTGGGGTCTGCTGCGTGGAGTTTGCTTCCTTGCAGAGGAGCTCTTCACGGATGTTGGGGGCGCCGAGCTGAACTACAACGGGGAGAAGAGGCAGATGGCAACAGGGAAGCCCTGTGGGCCCACACCCACCACGTTTGATTGAAGAGCATGCATTATTACAGTGTTCCAACGTTTTAAACCGTTAGTCCACGTATGATTGCATTATGTTAGTAAGTTCGGTTGTTTCAGAGATTTTGGGCTGTTTCAAGTCAAAGTCCTGACCAAAAAACATAGGCTCATGCTCGCCTCTCATGCTCTCTCTGTTCCAAGTTCCCTACTACGGAGCATTCATTAAGTTAGAGGGCCGTTTCAAATGAAAAACAACATCAGAAGTTGTGATGCAGCCAGCGTGCAGTCCAGGAATCAGGGTTTGGATTATACGGCGTTATCTTGAGTTTGACAATGCTTTTTAGTTTGGTGGGTGGGTCTTGATGTTGGCCGTATGAGCAACTGCGAAGTCATTCACACCCTAGGCAACATGAGCACAATCAGATTGCTGCACATGCACCAGATTCGAAGCACAAACTGCAAGAAGCGACCGCAGAACCAAACACAACCACAACGGCGACGTCGACGGCGACAACAACGACGACAGCAGCCGCACAAAAAGCGCATCCCGACCGCGCAAAACAACTGGCACGACTTGCAAACCACAACCAGAAGAATAGCTGACACAAAACATAATCCAGATGCGTTCAAAAGGCTTCGTATGCAAGAACTGTCATCGCGCAGGGCAGAACACGGAGTGCATTCAAAGCACAAACGGCAAAACACCACCACAGAAAAATAAAGCAACGCACGCATATCGGAGACCAAACTACAGCTCGAGCCAAGCAAAAGATCACAAAGGAGGGTGAAACCCCAAAAAGGCTTATGTAGGGATTCGGGTTCGGGAAAAAGGGTTTAGGGTCCATTACATGGGGTGTGTACCCCAACTATCCCAAAATGGACGTTGCAGGCCGTCACCATGGACGCAGGACTCGGGGGAATTTTTTTTAGCCAGAAATTTGCTCTGCGGGCCTGTTCAAGCAGGCAAGCTGCTGTAGAGGATGGGATGTTGAGCTCCCTGCATGCTCCTATATTCCTTCATGCTCTGCATGCTTCTGCATTGCCTTAATTACTAATTAAACATCCTGTAGGCCTGGACCCTCTTCCTTCAACCCACAGCGTGAGACCATCACCACAAATTGTTCGAGACAGATTTGCGTAGTACTCTTGTGCCATTTAAGGGAGTTTAGGGTTTATTGTAAAACACCCTTGTACAACAAGCGCTTCTGCAGGACTGGTGCCTTATGAGCTATCCATCCCACGGCTATGGAGACGCAAAGTGTGCGTCGGGCGTGGGCTTTGGCCACATGCTGCTTCGGCTGGGATGCACCGTGCCCTTTTTTCAGGGTGTAAGGGTCAAAATGAGTAGCGCGTTTTTGTTGGGGCCGAGCAGTCGTTGCAGGTGTTTGCGCTTTTGTCCTTCGTTCCCTGCGCCGTGTTTTTTATTCTATTAGCAAGCCTTGCTGACACTGAGGTTCACGCTCAACGATGACGCCCGCATCTTGTCAGCAAGAATTAAATTTTGCTCCTAGCGGCTACGGCTGCTTTTGACGATGCCAAGCACGATGACGTTACACTTTACACTGGGCCGTTTAGCCCGGACATTTTGATGCTCGAGTTGCTCGGATACCAGTGACAGCGAGTAATGGTTCGCAAGTGCAACCTGTACGATCTTCTATCGCGAAGAAAGTTGCTGATGTGAGTCCATGTGTCAAGTCCTGTTCTCCTGAGAACACAAAACCTCCAAATGCCAAATAACAGGGCTCCGCTGCGAATCACAACAGCTCCCCAATCGTCTACGCAATCGCCTCGTGCAATGTCCTCGTGGTGATCCCAATCAAACCATGCGCGGTTCCCGTGGCGAGTGGCGGGACACGACGTTTTTTGCTGCGTTTTCCATCGTTGAGCCCCTCCCCAGACTTCTACTAGCGGCGTCTACGAGGGTTCTTACAGTGTTTCGGATACCCTGTGATGTTTTTTTAACGTTAATAAACCCCTTTGTGTAGAAAAAATAGGGTTTTTCACGTAAAGCCACCCTTTTGTGTAGAAAACAACATCAGGGGCTGCTACGGGCATCCCGCAGATCGCAGGTGCGACGATCCGGACCCAAGCGTTGGCGGGCCACAACTTCTTGGGCTTGCAGGGAATGATGGCATGCATATGCTGCTTGGGCTTACTGCTATTTGCTTAAGAACCCCAGAAGAATAAAGCAAAGAAAAGTCATCCCTAATTTACCCTTATAAGGAAGAATGCAGTTTTTTTTTTTTTTTTTGGGGGGGGGGGTTCTTAAGCAACTAGTGCTTACTTGGTAGCCCGGTGGTGCCCATTTGCCCCCCCCCCCCCCCCTTTTTGGTTCATGGTTCCCCTATACAGTAACCAGCTCCAAAAAGGGTGCCCTTTGATAAGCTTACACAGCCGAAGACATGTGTTTTTCCCTAAGCCCTATACTAAACACTACCATAAGCGTTTTCCTGCAGTTGCCCCGTGGACCAAAAGAATCCCAAAAGGTTTTATGGTTCACATACCTGAATAGGAATTCTAGTAGTATCAGGTATATGACCCCCAATTTTGAGGTTCATGTGGTCCCCAAGGTATAGGGTCTAGTGGTGTCAATGGAAGCTGAACTTGAGGGGCGGGTTTGTGCTTCGGGAGTTCCTTGGGGGTGATTTTGGGGGAAAGGAACATGGGAGCGTCCATCTTGCGAAGCTAGCACAGCACGGACGGTGGTTCTCCGCGTAACTTCAGGCTTGTAGCAGCGGCTTCCTTCTTACATGGGCTTGCATCATGTGCGAGTGTCCAGGCCACAACGAAGATACTTGCCTCATTTGCAACGCGGATGGGACCATGAAGGGCGCTGGCACAGGCCTGGCCGGCCCTAAAGACTCAAATCCACTCGGTTCATGGATTCGCCTCTTGTGAGCTTTAGTGAGCTTAGGCTTACAAAAAAGCTCGAGGAATTGTAAGAAAAGCTTTTCACCCGCTTCCGAAGGCTCCCCTAAAAACAGTGCGAATTCGGTCTTGGCTGTTGATGTGGTTACAGGGTGGGTTGAGGTATTTAGGTTGGGATGTTCCCCCTTTTCCTCAAATCCCCTGATACTCACAGTCCTGAATAGGGATTATGATAGGGGAGGTACTGTAATCCTGATTAAGGACTGTCAGTATGAGGGGGGACATCCCAAGTTTTAGGCTGGTTCCTTGTTTTTATTGGACCCTAAACCCTAAACCCTAAACCCTAAACCCTAAATCCTAAATCCTAAACCCTAAACTAAACCCTAAACCCTAAACCCTACCTAAGCAGAAAACCCTAAACCTTGTTCCTGGTGGGCTTGGGTTGCGCTCGAACATCTCCCTGACTGCCTCGCGCCAGCCGATCCAAAGACGGCCTGGCCGACCGCGGCACCTTGGCCCCAGCCATCGAAGAGGGTTTAGGGTTTCAGAAAGGGACGCTGTGGACGCTTGTTTGTTGTAGTGTTGTTAGAGGAGTTTAGCCTAACTACGTCCACAGCATCTCTCTCTGTAGGGGACAAACTGATACGAGTAGATAAAGTATGGGCCCGGGGATGTATAGATACAGTATGGGCCAAGGGGCCCGAAACTGAAACCATTTTTTGGGCCAGGGGGGTCCAAGGGCTTAAACAAATTAATCTTTTCATCCCCTGGACCCCCGGAACCAAGAACCAAGATTCGCCGGGGGACTCTTTCCAGAAATCTTGGTTCGGGGGCCAGGTGGGTTCCAAGGAATTCAAAAATTCCGGAACCAAGGTTCTTCAAAAGAGTCTTCGGGGAACAACAATTCTTGGTTCCGGGGGTTTAGGGGATAAAAGATATTTTTTTCAATCCCCTGGATCCCCCTAGGCCCCGGAACCAAGATTACTGGAAAGAATGCCCTGGGGAATATTGGTTCTTGGTTCCAGGGGTCCAGGAGATCAAAAAGATAGGTTTTTTAATTTTGTTGGGACCCTGGAAAGAGTCCTCCGGGAAATCTTGGTTGTTGGTTCCGGGCCTCCCGGTCATTAAAAACAGTACTTGTGTAATGTTTTAATTTAATTGGGAGCACTCTAGAGAACATAGGGCTTTAAGCCATATAGACATTCGGGGGATATCTGTTGCTGCAGGGTGTGTTTAAAGAGAAGCCCGAAACCCGATAGGGTTAAGCAATCAGAATTAAACCCTTAACCTGTTTACCCTATTAGGCTAAGGTTTAACGGCTTAGGGTTTCAGATTTAGGCATTTAAACCTAAGCCGGCAACTAAACTTAAACCCTGAACCTTAAAACCCTACAGGCACGGTTTAGGCTCTTCTCTTAGGCATTTTTAAACCCAAGCCGGCAATGAAACTTCAACCCTTAACCTTTAAACCCTATGAGGTTAAGGGTTAAAGGTTCAGGGTTCAAGATTTAGGCTTTTAGCCGAGTTGAAACCTTAAGGGTTTAAGGTTGAGGCATTTAAACTATGTATGAGTTGGTACAAAATCTGTGTACTTCATCTTGGTTTGAAAGAGTTTTTGTCACACAACATGTTGCTAATAAACGTTAAGTTTGCTTGGAACGGTCCGGGTGGGGGGGGGGGAGAGGGGTACTCTCTAAAGCCCGTTTAGGGTTGTAAAGAGAGGCCCCGAAACCCAATAGGGCCAAGCAAGTAGCCTAAACCCTCAAACCTTGAAACCCTATAGGTTAAGTTTTAAAGGTTCAGGATTTACCGCTAAACCCTATAGAGTTAAGGTTTCAGGGTTTAGGTTTCAAAGATTTAGGCATGTAAACCTAAACCCGCAGAGATTATACCGACATTTCAACCTGAACCCTAAACCCTTTCAGGGTCAGAACCCTGAAGCCCTGTAAGGCTCTAAAAGGTTCAACTGCTTTTACCCTATAGGCGCTGAAGGTGTACATGCCCAGATCTTAGGTTTCTAAACCATTAAACCCTATCAGGGTGTAAAGGTTTAGGTTTGTGCAGGGTTTACCTCCAAAACCCTCACAGGGGTATAAGGATTCAAGGTTTGGGGTAGACATTACCTATAGGATTAAAACCTTATAGCCGTATAGGGCTTGAGGCTTAAATGCCTAGACCTTAAATCCTATAGGGTTATGCCTATGTTTGAGGGGCTTGCCTCCTGTGCAAATGCAAGAGAAAGCAGAATAAGTACCCACATCATGTATGTATATAGGGTAAATGTATTGTACATCAAATACAGAGAATGGAGAAGGAAGGACGGTAAGTCTCGAACCATAAGACTAGGAAGCATTCGAGTGCGTAGGTGATGCAAAACATATCTTTTACTGTAAGTCCCGGGGACGCGAAAAGACTATGATCAAATATTATTTCGCTATTTCCTGGGACTTCCAACAGGCTGCTAGTAGTTGCTTGCAAGTATCTTGCTTTTCATTCTCAATAGTTCCTTCAGGTCTACCAACATGTTAATCATTTCTCAAGGATAATGCTCATTTTCAAATGATCCGCAAGACTCGGAAGGACATAAAGTCTTACATCAAAGCAACTGGGTATCATATCCTTATTACAAAAATTGTACGAAACCTAGGTTTATGGGGGGGGGGGGGGGGGGTAGCATGGTAAGCCCCCCCCCCACAAAAGAAAAGGTTTAGTATACTTTCAAATAGCATACCTGAGAATAAGTAAGTCGTAGTACAGTGCAATCTGGTTCGGTGTGACGCACCATCATGTTGACGCAACAAAAACACTACAACAGACAAGCGTCCACAGCGCCCCCGTCCCCAGAAATTAGGGTTTGGGGTTTGGGTTTAGGGGTACACTCTGTTTGTTGAATTCGTTACATATCAAATTGTTATGTTGCATTGTCAGCCACATTGAGGAAACACCCCCCTTGATTTGTGATATGGCTGATTTAATTCAGTGCTAGCTTTACTAACGGAATTGAGAGCCTTATCTTTTCTTAACGATTGAAGACTTCACGAAACCATATACATGTTCAATGTGGCTCCGAATTACAATAGTCACGTCCCTCTTTACTTCTTAGCATTTCGTTGCGTTACCCCTTCGTTTTGCTCAGCTGGAGTAATTTGACTACCTTTGACAAAGCATCCCTAGGTAGAAGGAGGAACATAAATCTGTTTTCGGGATGCATTAAACGAAGAAAACGACTGCGTTACAACATAGCGCCTGCCAATTCTACCAGTATGCCCTTGCCCAGTAGCATACTGGGGAGGAAGGGATTATGGGCGAAGTGCATTAGCTAAACTCTCTACATTACGAAGAAGATAGTTGGCATCAGGACGCTACCAGTCGACCTCGCAGATTGTTCCCAAAACCCTAAACCCTGAGTTAGTTTGTTCATGGCACACAGCTCCCAGAGCGCATTGCAAGGGAACTTGGTGCCAAACCCGCAACTTCAAGTGGCACAATTCTTTACAGATATAGGGGTCGGAATATTTACTAATAGTTCCCTTGTGGCCTTGTGGTCCCTATATAATTACAATCGAAAAACCACCCCAAAACCCTTTTCTGATTGGGCCCCTATATCATATGTGTACACACAAAAGTGAGTGTATGCTTTACATCTTTGCAGATGAGAGTGAATAATTACAGACATGTGTACGCATATTCATATACCTGCAATATGCATATGTTTCCGTTGTGGCAGGCACTGACATCTCTGGCTTTATTTAGACGCATGTAGCAGACCGAGCGTGAATTTCGGCAGGGCGGGGGGCCGACCCAGGGCCGGGACTCGGATGGCTTAGGGATGCGCAGCCAGCTTGTTCGTCTGCCTGTATTTGAGCACCTTAGCCGATCTGTGGGACTTTTTGGGTCTCCGTGTTCCGCCTGGCACCCGTAATTTGTGGGGGTTTCCGAATTAGGGGTCCTTGTTGGGGTCCTTATTTTCAGGGATTCCTACTATGTGGGTATCTATATTCGGGGCCCCTCTATTTTCGTCAGCCCCTTGTTTTTTTTCCAGGAACTCAGCACTGAGAGACTAAGATCCAAACGTGCATCGCCGACTGGAAGAGCAACGTGATCACCCTGTCCCAGGCGCTCCGTCTGCTAATCGTCGCTGCAAGGAAGTGTCTATCGTCCCTAAACCCTAAACCTTTGCTTGCCTGCTTCAACTTGCACCATGACTAAGTCCACCACGGCGAGAAAACTGAATGGGAAGGAGGCATTCGGATTCTTCCGGAGCATACAGCTAGTTGGGTTGCGGTTGAGTAGACCTTTAGCATGGTCGGGATGTAGGGTGATTAATTTGGGCTGCCCTCCATGGTAACTCATCTTCCTCAACAGCAACAGTGGCACTGCTCGCCTTGCTCCAGACCTCAAAGCCCCAAATGCAGACGCGCCTGGAGGCCGCATCGACTGGGCCGACGACAACTACGATGCTCTGTCAGCGATGATTTCGAAACGAACTTCCGCCGGCCCTGACATCAGTTTCAAGGCTCTGGAGCACATCCCCCGCATCAAACCCCCTTCAGCCCCCCATGAGATGTCCCCCCCACCCCCAGCAGCCAAGGACAACACTGGACCCGACCTCGGCCCTGGGACAATTCTGCTCTCAGACGGAAACACGAAGCTTCGGACCGCCAAGGGCTTGTTGGGTCTACGGTTGAGATGCTCCCCCCCTGTGCGAAACAGTCCTTAATCGGGATTACAGTAGGGGGTACTATAATCCCTATCAAGGACTGCTAGTAAACATCCCAAGCTCTAGGGTTGAAGTGGGTTGTGAGGGGTTTGTCAGGCCTCTTGGGGAGGGAAAGAAATCTTTGTTGTTTCATGTCTCTTCGGGGAGGTTTGTGTTGTAAGGGAAGGTTGGCGGTTTTAACATATGGCAGTATCCGGCGATGTCCGCTTCAGGTTAAACGCTTAAGCTGTGCGACCTCGATGTGTTGGTCTTGACATCAAGCACTCTCCGTACCCGGAACGGTCCGATTTTGCAAACTGCTCCTCCGACTGCGCTACCTGCTGCTATTGCCAAGCACTAGCGCTTCTACTGCAACTGCGGCTGCCTATAACGACAGCGGCTACTGCCATGACGACTCCACCTCTTCTACCTTCGCTCCCATCGCTCCAGGACCGCCCCAGCCCAGCGGGCCCCTGAACACGATGGTGCTTCTTGGAAGAAAAGAAGGGTTTAGGGTTTAGGGTTTAGGGTTTTTAGGGTCTAGGGTTTAGGGTTTAGGGTTTAGGGTTTAGGGCTTAGGCTTGGAGAGAAACACCTAAGCCCGAGACTTCCGGGAGGCGGTTGCGCACGAAGGTTACGCAGGCTCCGTTGAGGCCATGCAATTTGACCTGCGGTCGCTAGTTCGGCCTCAGAACCCGCAATCTTCAGCAAACGCTCAAAGCCTATAAGCGTTCAGGCAAGATTTGGGACACCTTGATTAGGGTTGGGGTTTATGGTTTCAGGGTCCCTAGACCGTGAACCCGATTAGGGCTGAGAGGTTTCAGTTTCCTAAAACTTGCAGCTTGAGTTGTGCCCCGATGGCTTGGTCGCATGAGCTGTTCGTGTATTGAGCTCACTCGAATAGTGCCGTATTTCAGCAGTGATGTTTCCAGACCATTGCATCTTGCCTGAAAACATGCTGCCGCCGCCCTCAACCCAGGCATCATCTGGAGTTTATGTCACTGATTAGTCTTGAAGGGCCAGGCCCAAGCCCCTTTCTGGGGATATTTGTTCCTGTCGGACGACGAAGGGGCAAGATGCTTGTTGAATTCCTGTAAGTCGCTGTGGCCTCAAAATCAGGGTGGAACGTGGATTTTAGCCCATGTTGGCTGGAGGTGTTTAGATTTAGGTTATACAGTTATACGTTACATGAATGGCAGAAAGGGGCGGGCTCGCCCATGAAACCTGGTGGACACAGGCTGGACATGATGGAGCAGTTCATGTATCAGTCGCTACAGGCTGGATGCCACTCGGGCCTGAGAAATGCTGGTGCTGGGCCGGTAGGGCCACGCAGTGTCTGAGGCTTTGCAGTTCTGTTTGGGACCCTCAACCCTATAAACCCTAAACTTAAACTGGCACTCCTTCAGATCCTCGCGCCTGTCCTGCCGACTGAAGTTACGGCAAAGAGAGGGTTTAGGGTGCATGGGGGTGCCAGTATAAGCCCACCTGGCAGATCTTATACCCTTATTCTAGTATCCTTGGGTTGGGCTTGGGATTCAGAAGAGAACCTACGGTATCCCTAAAGTCTTTGTAGCCGTTGCACCATCAAGTACACGTTGCGGCCAAGAGTCTCGTGACGACTGCGCCATGTCCATCCACTCCGCAGTGTTTCCTGGACTGTTCATCAGCAACGCCGACTCGGCCAAGAAGTACCTTGGCCCAACTGAACCCTAACAGGGTTTATAGGGTTTCAGGTTCAGAGACCCCTACACTAGGAATTGTAGTAGTATGTGGGTATGTTACTCCCAAATTTACCCTAAAACCTTTGGGTTCGTCGTTTGGTCCCCAAGGTACTCAGAGCTTCGCTCGCATGGCATCACCGGCGTGGCAGTTGCTTAGCCTTTAGCCTTTTTTGGGATAGTCTGTTCGCATATAATCCCAAAGGTCAAACTTTAGTTACCCTAAACCCTAAACCCTAAACCCTAAACCCTACACCCTTAGGGTACTGGACAACTAAGGTTATTGCACGAGGCCTCCGGCCGCCGTTCCCAGGATCCTTCCGATATCTGATCCTGGGGCTGAGCTTCTGGAACGACTGTTACTTTACGGCTTCCTTTATCTTCCCTATAATTCTTGTAGCCCCCCCCCCCAATAGCTCTCCCTTATATGGCCCCCATACTCCCTCCCTCCACCCCCACCCCGAAAAATTATGCAAAACGTTATGTATCTATATATATATATACATACCAGCCCAGAGGACGGTCGACCTCCTAGATGACGGCACTGACGACTTGCTCGTGCATCTTCCACGGATCTTCTCCTTTCTGGATGATGTGTTGAACAGCCAGGGCAAGGTGCTCGTTCATTGCCAAGCAGGGATGAGCCGTTCCGTGTCTACAGTGGTTGCGTACCTGATGCGGCAGTGGAAGCTTCCCTTTGACCTGGCGCTTGAGATGTTCAGGGACGTCTATCCAAGTGCTGCACCTGCCGAGAACTTCTGTGAGCAACTGCAGGTCTTCGAAGATGCTGGCTTCCTTCTTGAAGACGATGCTCCTCCGGCATTGGAGCCTCTTCGGGTGTTGCAAAGGTCCACGGAGCATCAGGGAACTCAGAAGCATCACCTTGGCTCAGATGGGAAGGCAGTGGATGAGTCGGTAGAGGCAACAGACGGCCACGGAGAGCAAGAACAAAAGTCCACCGGAAAAATTGTTCAGCTGCAAGACTCCTTCGCATCAGGAAGTGACTTTGGCAGCATCGCCAAAGGTCAAGGATCAGATGGATTCTGGCAAAGTGCTCTTACAGGCTTGCATCTTCAGCAGGGAATGAGCGCAGCAGCTGCAAAGGAGAAGGTCATGGCTACTTGGGGTCAAGCCTCCCCATTGTCCCCATGGCGCCTCTACGTACAAGAATGGCGAGCCTACACCTGGAGGACAGTGGATGTGGACATCGCCAGAGAGCTTCGGAAAGAGCTCGTTCACGAGACTTTGACCAGAAATCGCGGAGTCCAAATGCCGCAATCTTCGGGCGTCTGCTGTTGTGCCAAATGCCACAAGGCCTTGTTTTCGAGTCAGAACCTGCTGCATGACTGCCCTGGTGGGTACTACGTCGAGCCGATGCAGTGGATGGAAGCATCTTCCTCAGAGGGAAAGCTCAACTGCGCCTGCGGGGCAAAGTTGGGGAGCTACACATGGAGTGGGCAGTCGTGCGGCTGCAAGCTCTGGATGGCCCCAGCTTCATGGTAGCCCATTGGTACCTTTTACTTTTTTGTCTTTTTGGTTAGGGGTTCCCTTAGAAAACAACCCAAAAAAAGGGTGCCCTTATTGTCATCTGGTTACTGGGCTACCAAGGCTTTCAACCTTCAGAAGAAGAAGGTCCAGTGGAAAGAGTCGAAGAAGGGCTTTGGGGGCATCGAGATGCCCAAACCCATGTTTGGAGAGTGTACAGACTGTACAGCGGACTAAGGCAAAGGTGACGCAGAGACGCCAACAACCGGTGCTTCTCAGCGCGGCAGAATGTATAGTGTACAGGCAAGGCAGCTTCTCGCTGCGCCCAGCTGTGCAGTGTAGGGCCCTGTTGGCTTAGAATGGCTGTTTTGGGCGGGCGGCATAGCGATGAAGGGACTTCTGCTAGCTTCATAGATGGGTTATGATAACATTGGTTCCGTAGCACTTTAGGCTTTAGGCTCCAGTGGAGGTACACAAAAGACCGGAAACTGTAAGCCCTTCGAAATACCTCTCAACCCCAAACCCTTCAAATTCCTGAGCCCTGAACCCTAAACCCTTCAAAACGAACCTGAACTCCGCACCCTGGACCCTTCTCAATCAAGTCAAGTGCTTCCAAACCCTTCCAAACCCCTGAGAACACAATCTGAGGCGCCACGAACATGACGTGTGGGCGACTTCGACAGCAGATCTGGGGCCGGTTCATTAGGGTAGGGTTTAGGGCTTATAGGGTCTGAAAGTCTAGGAGTTGGGGTGTTCCTGGCTGTTTTTGGGGCCTGAGAGCTTTAGGGGGCAGGGCTTTAGGGCTTCCGGGGTCTATAGGGCCTCCTCGCTTACCGCCCCCTGGGTTTAAGTGTAGGGTTTTCGGGGTTTAGGGCTTGTTTAGGCGCACCAGCAAGACGAGGGCAGTTCGGGCAGTCACGGTGGTGCGCCACGTGCTCAAGAGAACAGTGCCTGGGACCCCATCCCCCCTCCCCTCTAAAAGCACAACTTTCATGCTCGCACGATGCATATCCAGGGCCATCTGGAATTTCGGAGGGAAGGAGGGTTTGGTCCAACATTGAGGGGGCGGGATCATGCCTGATTGTCAGGAGTACCAAACGGCACCTGAAGCCAACAAATGACCCTCAAACCCAACAATGTCCAACTTGGAGCCCATATAGAGGCCCTCAGTCTGAAATGGGCAAGCTAGGCCCGCACGTGCAACCCACTCAGGTGGTCACCACCGCTTCTCGTCTGCAAGGAACGCGCTCCGCGAGGAATGGCCCATGCTCAGGAGCAACCCCTGAACCCTGGACCCTGCGCCCTCAACCCTAAACCTCAAACTCAAACCCTAAACCTGCCGTTGGTGTAGGTCATGACCTTGCGTGGAATTTTCTGCTGAGTTTAGCGGCACTTGTGACGACTTCCCCAGTAGGTGCTCTGTAGTCTGTCCGAGAGGTCAGCAGCGCTAAATCAAAGTGGAGACGGGGTGTGATGTTGTGACTTTAGGGTATAGTATTTTAGGGTTATCGGGTTATAGGGTTCAGGATTATAGGGTTTAGGGTTTATTGTTTAGGGTTTCGGGTTTAGGGTTTAGGGGATGTTCAGTGCTCCCCGAGCCAAGGGGAACCCACCAGATCTGCAGCTCGTCTGCCTACTACCCGGCCACAGACGCCACAGGGCTTGTGACCGGCGCCGAGAAGGAGGCGCTCGAATATTGGGTTTAGGGTTTAGGGTTTCGGGCCCCTTTCAACTCCAAGACCTCAGCCCCCCATCCTGGGCAAAGAGGGTTAGGGTTTGGGGCTTTATAGGGATGACAGTGGCTCCTGCTTCTACAGAGCGTATATTCCGGCCAGGAGATCACAGCCCGGCCGCAATAAGGGTGGTAGGCTCCTGAGTTCGATCTCTGAAAGGAGTTTTCGGTCAACTTCCAAGTTCATACAAGAGATGATCTGCGCACATGTGATCCGATGCAGAGGTGTCAAGACCCTTGGGGACCAAATGAACCCTTAAACGGGTTCATGGTCTACACCTTGATAGGAATTATAGTTATATAATGTATACGCCCCCAATTCTAGGGTTACCCAAGGACTGGTTTCCTGCTCCTTGCATGCTAACTTTTGTCGTGGGGTTAGGGCATCGAAACGCCGCAGACGACCGTAGAAGGTCGGGGGCGCATGCATTCCGCAGCATACTTCTGCTGGCTGCTTGCCTATTATAGGGGTCGAACTAGTTACTTGTAGTATTCCCTTAGGGTCCCTTTATAATCATGCTAGAATAACATCCCCAAATGCCTATTCTCATGATTCAGGCCCCTGTATTGCCTCTCCCATCCTGCGCTCTGCCCCCCGGCAACCTTATGCTCATCCACCCTGACACCCCTAAACCCTGTTAGGCGAAGAGCTCGTTGAGTCCAAATCGAGCCTCTTGTATAGGGTCCTCAAGGGAGGGGGGGGGGGTCGGTACCTCGGGAACCCCTAAGGAAGTTTAGGGAAGCTTAGGGAGCCTTGGAGGGTAGTGGGGGTGTATTGGGGAACCTGGGTCACATGCCCCCCTTTAAGCCCCAACCCTTAAGAACCCTAAACCTTAAACCTAAACCCTAAACCCTAAACCCTAAACCCTAAACCCTAAACCCTAAACCCTAAACCCTAAACCCTAAACCCTAAACCCTAAACGAACTCTTGGCACCGGAAGGCGATCCTCCAAAAGATGTGCGACCCAACTCTTCCCCTTTGGTGGAATGCCAAGCATCCTGATTGCACCCCAGGCTGCCCCACACCACGGTTTAGGGTTTAGGGTTTAGGGTTTAGGGTTTAGGGTTTAGGGTACACTTCCCCATATCATGGCATTGCCGTTTCGGCAAGGCCGCCGGAGCTGTTAAGCCTATCTTTCTGAGAGCATTCCATGTCGAAAAGCTCGCTCTGACTTGATGGCTAGATGGTAGATGTATCTAGCGAATGTGGTGAGACCGCATCAAACATAAAACCTGATGGTCTTTTGGGCCCGGCGTTGCGAGCTTAGTAAGGAACACGTTCATGCCCATCACCTTCGATTGTGCCACGCGCAGCTTGGGCATTTAGAGAGACTTTTTCCGGGTCAGCTGCATCAGCACAGGCCGTAGGGCCTGCTTCACTCGTCAACTGGCGCCCCTTTGAGCACTGGCACTCGGGCAATGTAGGACGCAAATGGAGCCACGAGATGTTGTGATGCCTGCCAAGGAACGAGCAAGTACGGTCTGTCCCGCTTCTTCGCAGGCCTGTCTGCCGGGGTCGAGTTCCAGTATAGGACCCACAGCCCCGAATAATTCGCGTGCCGTTTTTGGCGAGAGCTACCTGGAATTCGGAGCAGCACTGCACCAGTAGTTCATTTTCGTTCAGGCTGCTGAGGGCCTTCGTACACGAGAGATCCCGCTGGGCTTTGTGTCGTCGTTGCACACGCCGGTATGCATACAGATGGTCGGGGGGTGGCCTGACGGTTTTGATTTTGCCTTGCACACCCTGAGCCACCCTAAGGTCCATAAACCCTGGACACATACCCCTGGAATTTTCAGGAGCGAATGATCCAGATGACGAGGACATGTTGGGGTTTGGGAGCTTAGGGGGATTCCGGCACCGCGTAAAAACGTCAACTCAGAGCCAACAAACACAAGCAGAAATGGAAGACAGGAGTTTCATGAAATCATGTAAACACCCTAAACCTAAACACGATGAGCAAGGCAGCCTCGCGATACATTTGTGGTGCCTTTGTAGCACCTTCTGGCGCAAGCAGGGAGGTCTACCAGTTAATTTTAATGTGGCCGCCCATTCTGTAACGCGTGATTGCGAGTTTTACATGGTTAAGTTGGAGTTGTTGATGCGCAGCTGATGGGCTACGTTCTGCAGTGATGCCCGTTTCTTGACTCCCCAATCTGGTTCGGCACCTATACCCATGGCTCAGGTGCCCCCCTGACAAAACTGAGGCTGAACATCAGGATACGCATCAATACCCCGTGGACTCAAAAACCCTAAACCCTAAACCCAAAACCCTAAACCTAGTAATTATCCCGTTTGCTCCAGAGGTTGCTGAGACCCAGAGTTGAGAGCTCCCCTGCGAGGATGAGAGCAAGAAGTTCCAGACCGGCTACGTTGAGGGTCGCAACGGCTGGTGCGGGGCCCAGATGTCTTTGAGCCGTAGGAAAATCAAGCTGCGCATGGCTGCCCAGGTCGGTAGCAGGGCTATACTGGCAAAACGCATTGCGTTCGTGAATGCACGTGTCGGGGATGAGTTCGCGAGATGAACTACCTTCGTCCTCAAGCATTGAAGTTTCAGTGCAGCAGAGATGTCATCCCCACAAGATGAGGGAAGATGTTGGTAATTGGAACGAAGGATGTGGGTAGCAGCCGTGAGAAGAGGACAATCTAAGCTAAGCCCTCTAAATGCCCTATAAGCCTATAAGTTATGTGGACCCTACTCACAACCATTTTAGCTGCCAGGTACGCCAAGGCAGCGGCTATCGAGGTTGCCCTGCTTTACTGGGGGGGGGGGGGTTTTACATTGAGGGTCTGCCTCAGGGGAACTTATTTGGGCATTATGGGATGCGTTCTGTGGACTCGTCAGTATTTCTTCCATGCGTCGTCAGGCCAAGTATGAGCGGCAGTACGGCAGCAAGCTCCGCATCATGCTGTTCTCAGGCGGGCCGCGCATGCGTTGCATTTCGTGCGGGGGATCTGTGGGCCTCGACCAAAACGGTGCAAGGCAGCAGAAAAAGGCTCCCACAACTCACATTCGGCTTTAGGGTTAGGTCTAGGGTTGAGGGTTTAGGGTGTCGCGCAGGAGGCAGCGCTGGCAGTCATCAAGTCCGGTTTTCAAAAGGGTTTTTGGGGTGTCCAAAGGCCTTTCCTCAGAGGTGCCACGCTGATCGCCCAGTACCTTGGCATCCTGCTGGTCGATGGCTTCCTTTCCTTGGGCTCACTGGTGTGCTGCGGCGGCACAAGAGGGGTTCAGGGTTTAGGGTTTAGGGTGTCTGAGACTTGTCAGGAATTGGGGGTTATTTTGAACAGATGTCTTTCGTGATGAACACAAGGGTGGCTTCTCATAAAGGTTCCCAAGCACATGTTTAAAGTCGAGGGCCTTGGGGGGTGAACCTATAGCCTTCTTTCAAGAGCTGCTGGTCCGATGGGGCTTCTGATCATAAACCCCTACTCACGTCTGTGGTCCAGGAAGCTGTTCTAGGCCCGAATTTTGGATGCCCCTTCTTTGGGGTTGCAGACTTCTTCTTG